CCGCTGCGAGCTCTCGTCTTTCTTGCTCGGCGGCGGCTTCCGCTCTGGCAAAGTCCGCGACCGCTTGGGCTTCTGGGTCGTCAGGGTAGTGCTCTTCTTCCCCCACGACCGCTACCCTGGCACGTTTGTGCTGCCTGCCGGCACAGGTGTAGGGCATGAGGAACTGGCGCCCGCTGCGGATGAAGTCCGCTCTAGAGCCGTCCTCCCACTCGATATAGGATCCGGCGGCGTCAAACACCACGCGGGCCCCGGCATCAACAGCGCGGTTCACTGACAAAATGTCATCTGTGATCCCGCTCACCACCTGGAACGTCGTCTTCGCCTCTTGGCGGCTTCGCCTGCCCAACTTGAGCACCGGCTCCACCGTGCCTTTGGTGTCCAGGGGCGTGTCGTCCACGCTGTAGAGCGTTTGCCGGGCTGCGGTGTTCACCGGGTCGAGGAAGGTCTCCGGCCTGCACACAGACACCGTTGCTCCCGTGTCTACCAAAAGGTATCCCCGGCGCTCGCCGGTGATGGCAAGGATCCGCATCTTTTGGTCCGAGATGTGTCTCACCCCCGGCTTCGTGGTGACAGCCGTGGTGGCGGTGCTTCCCGCGACCGACGCGGAAGGCCCCGCAGAAAGTTGCGAGGAGGTGTCGTCGCTTACCGCGTGCACCCCTCCTTTCTGCTGGGCTCCTTTCCCCTTGCCCTTGGCGTTGTACCAGCACTCTTTCACGGTGTGGCCTGTGCGCCAGCAGATCGGGCATCTTTCTTTTTCCTTTCCCTTCTGGGTGTCTTTTCCTTTTCCTTCCTTGCCCTTTTGGTCCTTCCCTTTTCCTTTGTCTTCTTTGCCCTTGCCTTTTCCTTTCCCTTTTCCGTCTTTGCCCTTCGCGTCCCCAACCTTGCCAATGTCCATGGCATCGGGGTCGTGGTGGCGACGGCCGGCTGGCTGGGCATAGGCGCCCGACGGCGTCCACACTCTCTTTGCCTGCAGGTAGGAAACAACGAGGCCGCGCACATCTTCGTACTTAGTGAGCTTCCCCGCCGTCATGGCGAGGTGCTGCTTGAGTGCGCTAGGCGACTCCACCATGAGGAGTGCGCGCTTGTCTTCATCGGAGATCGCCTTCTCGACTCCGAACTCCGCCTCGTACTTGGCAAGGTCGCTCTCCCACTCCTGGAGAGCAGCGGAAAACTCGC